CCAGGAACCCACCCAACGGCACCTCATTTGCCAGCCTCCAGCAATTCACCAAGCGAACAATACAAACGGTCGACGCCTCCTCCATCGATTGATTCGATTCGCAGGACATGTCACGCCCCAGACCGCATCCGAGCGCGTGTACAACCGCCGTATGACTAAGTGACGTCACTCGCAAGTCAACGTGACTTAATCATACAAGGCGTCCATGAACATTGTTCATACCATACTCAGTAAGTAAACATACGTAACAACATCACATATTTGTATTGAAGAATCGCGGAAATGTTCAAAATTCAATCATGGGCCACATATGGCCAAAACGTGGACTCGCAGGCCCAAAACAAATGTACTTATTACAAATTATCCATGAGCATAGTTTATAGTTTAAAACAGTAAAGGAAGCACGAACCACGTCTCCCTTTAGATTACTTCACCGAGCAAGGTGAGAATGCAAGCTTGAGCTTCAACCTGAAATGGTGGGGCCCCCCGAAGGGGTCAATACAAGTACCGAGCGAGTAGCAGGCTAAATGTAGAATAACTAACGTTTCAAGTATAAGACCCCAAACATAGGGTGATACATATACATATAGTCCTTCCCCCCAAGTCGTGAAATATATATCATTATATATATACTTGGAAATACCCGACCCGTAGATCATTGTTTATTTGGGAAATAATATAGCCGGTAACCTTGGCTTAAACCCTAACCCACCCATATACCTATGAGTGTATAGAACTCCTCCTAGTTCAAATCATCTTAACATGAGGACACCGCCCGGTCCTATATTACAAAATAATAATCTATGAGTTTTGAGGATACACGCCCGATCCTTGGGTACTCCACCCTATAACCGAGTTTTGAGGATAGCCGCCCGATCCTTGGGTACTCCACCCTATAACCGAGTTTTGAGGATACACGCCCGATCCTTGGGTACTCCACCCTATATAACCGAGTTTTGAGGATACACGCCCGATCCTTGGGTACTCCACCCTATAACCGAGTTTTGAGGATAACCGCCCGATCCTTGGGTACTCCACCCGACTTATGATCTACCACGTATCATCCTAGATAAGGTCTATATCATAATCAATAATCAAGACTAAACCAAGTCTTAAGGCCTAAGCACAATCATCCATGCAATTCATGCATTAAAAATCAACATTTAGGCAAAACAGTGCCAAACCGGCGCCGGTTTTGACATAACCGGCGCCGGTTATTAATTAAATTAATTAAACCGGCCATGCCGATCCATAACCGGCGCCGGTTTTGCCTATAACCGGCGCCGGTTACCCCCTGGGTAACCAGGTCAACATTTTCGTTGACTCGCCATTTCAAACCCGATTTGTGTCAAACTTAATCCCAACGTGTATTAAGTTATAACCAAGCATTTTATGCCTCTTTTATCCCTTAAAACATCATATATATTTTTATAAACATTTTCATATCATACTTCATTTATGATATCAATGGTCATACATATAAGTCTAATCACTTTGGATAATCACATGTTTAAGCATCTTTTAAACATCATTATGAACACATATAACATTTATTTAGGTAATCTCATAATTGACCCAAGAGTTACAAGACATTAAGCCGTCCACTCACCTCAAATGAGCGTGATGAAGTTCTACCCTTCTCGGTTGAACTCCGGCCAAACTCCGGCAAACTTTGACGAACTCCGGTGATAACTCCGGCGACTCTTTAAACTTGTGAAAGCTCTCAAATCACCTTTGACACGTTCCTAACAAGGTTTTATCATCGCAAAAACCATATCAATACAAATAACCTTTAAAAGGTTATTTTCCGGCTAACCGGTCGTTTTGGCTCCTAAGTCCGTTCTTGGACATAGAACCACCTTTCAACCCTTATTTCTACATTTATAAATATGTAGAGATACTAAAAGGGTTCCTTACATGCTATGTAAGTCATATGGTAGTTAAAGAATAGAGGAACAACTAATACGAAGTCATTACCTTAATCACCACACTTTTTCTTCCCTTTTTCCTCTCCTAAACTCCTTCCTTTTTCTTGTTGGAGCTTGAGCTCGAGTTGGCTATGGAAGGTGAGGGTTCAGAGCTCCTTCTCCTTCTTTCCTTGGTGTTGGGCGAGTACAATGAGTGGGAGAGGAGGGAGGATGGTGTTTTTGTCTTTGGTTGGCAAATGGTTAAGGTTATGGGTCCATTAGGTGTCAAAATGGTCTCTCCCATCCTCTCAATGGCTTTCAGCCACATTTTCTCTCAAACCATCCTCCAAGAGATGGAAAATTCGTGGGTTGGCCCCCACTTATGTGGGAGGTCACCTCTTTTTGTCCAGAAGTGTACAATCGGTCCCGAAAGTTGTATTTCTCGGACTGTTTTAACTATATTTTATTTTATCGGGTCAAATAAAATATGTAGTATGTTCTCAATCATTACGGGACTTTATGATGGGTATACTTTCCCCAACTCTAATTTGGAAGTCTCCGAAATTCATTTCGGACTGCTATCCGATAAATTATCCAAAACCGGTAATTGGACCTCGTTTGACCAACCGATCAATCCAATGCCTTTCCTATGGCCCGAAGTGGATGTCCACCACCATATAACTATTATCTATACCAAGATGAATAAAATATGCGGTCTCGGGAATATCGGGTGGTCCCCGCTCCCGTGTGGGCCCCACGTGCAATTTACTATTTACGCAAAAGAATTAACAAAAATTTACAACCTCGTAAATTCATTAACCATTTCATAAGGTTCGATACATAATTTACACAAAAGTAAATATACTTGGGGACGGTGTTACAGGACATCTGCAAGCAGCGTACAGAGGTCGTAAGACCTTCTCCATCCCTAATCTTTAAAATTAGGGATGTGAATAATTGCAAAAATACCCAGTTGTACGGTATATTTTAACCCCGGCCTCACCAATGACGTACTAGCTTTCACCTACCTTTATATTAAGCCTCTGGGTGGTTCGGTACGGTATACTGAATATTTTCTCTCATACCTTTGTCGGACCAAAACTTTCGATATACAAAATTTAGATACTATTACCTTACCGAATTTTCGGTGTACCGCATTTCAGCATGCCGAAATTTTGGTTCTATAACGGTACGGTATCGGTAAATTACTGTGCATGTCTCTCAATACAACAAATTATCATAGACTAACAAGATATACAAAATCGGTGTTACTAGTGCATATTTAATTCATTAGTAAAATGTTATAAAATACAAATAATAATCTATTGATCTCACATTCTATTGAATAATTATTATTATTAATATGTAAGTAGTTCAACTTGTCATGTATTAAAAATAACACATTCCTCCTAAAATAACTTAAACGATATAGATATAATTAAGGGGAAATTTGACTTTGCACCCCACTTTTTGGTTGATATTGGACTTTGCACCCTACTTTGAAAAAACTTTGATTTTGCACCCCATTTCACTTATAATTCCTTTGACTTTGCACCCCATATAGAAAATTTTCTTCACAAAATCGTATGTGTTGGGGTGCAAAGTCAAAGTTTTTTGAAAATGAGGTGCAAAGTCCAATATCACCCAAAAAGTGGAGTGCAAAGTCAAATCCCCCCTATAATTAAATCAATATTGATCTCTTAAAAAAACTAAAATTACTCAAACAACATGGATATACAATCATTTATCCCTAATATGACGTTGTTTGCTTAGTCATTTTGATAATTTTAAAAAAATATTTGAATAATACTTTTGGCATAATGGTATACGAGTATACCTTTTATTTTCAAAACATAAATCGATACCATACTGAAGTAATTCGCTACGGTGCCATACCAATATACCATACCGAAATTGTCGGTATACCTAAATCTTCGATAAATCCGGTATTTTTCAGTATGGTAAATGCGGTATACTGAAATTTCGGTATTTTTCCCCAGCCCTAAATTTGCCCCAATTAAATTTCTTTCTCTCCATCTCCATCTCTCGATAGCTTGCTATATATTCAAATCTCTGTATTTCATTTCTGCAAGCTATTGACATTTCCGGCAGTACATCACGAACTGTTTGATGTGTAAATGTGTAAATGTTGTGTGAATGATGTGAAAAAATACATCAATAGTGATGCATGAAGTGAAACCCAAAGTTAAAAAAATGTTGTGTGAATGATGTGAAAAAATACATTTATGTTTTGCGCAATTGAAAATATTTCACGCCGCTGTAACCGCTACAGTCGGCTACATGCCGCTACAGGCGGCTACCGCGATGACCGCTACGGCAATATATATATATATATATATATATATATATATATATATATATATATATATATATATATATATATATATATATAGAGGAATGATCCTGTCCAGCCGGAGGGACAGGATCTTCCGTCCGGCCGCCGCCGTTTGGGGTGGTTCCCGGTGGAGTTTTTTGATGAAATTTTTATGGAATGTTCCTCATCAAGTCTAGTTTACCCACAAAAAATTTCAGCTAAAAATTCAATCGGGAAGGCAGTCAAATAATTTTTTTAAGATAACTGCTCCAACTTAAACATATAAAACGCAGTTATGTTTCAAAAAATTATTTGACTACCTTCCCGATCGAATTTTTAGCTGAATTTTTTTGTGGATAAACTAGACTTGATGAGGAACATTCCATAAAAATTTCATCAAAAAACTCCACCGGGAACCGCCCCAAACGGCGGCGGCCGGACAGAGGATCCTGTCCCTCCGGCTGGACAGGATCTTTTTCCTATATATATATATATATTTCTATATATATTTACTCCCACCCACACCACCTCTATCATTCAATTCGGCTTGGCTTTTAGCGTGATTAATGGAAACTGGAAAGTACACGAATTGAACTTCACTGTAACTCTGATTAGTCAATTCTATGTATCGAGTTTATAATTAATTCTATACGCAGTACTCCGTATGTATATATATATTAGGAGTATATATATATTACGGAGTACTCCGTATGTTTTAAAAAAGAATACATGGTATAGAATATATATAGTTTAATATACTAGCTTTCACCTACCATGACATACTAGTTTAATTTCCTAGCTAATATAGCTCCCGGCCTCAACAATGACATACTAGCTTTCACCAACCATTATATTGCACCAAAGAAATTTCTTTCTCTCCCTCTCCATCTCTCGCTAGCTACTTCAATTCTCTGTATATTATTTAATTTCTACAAGCTTTAGTCTCTCTTAGCTTTCGCTAGCCAGTGATGGAGGGGACAATTGTTGTTAATAATAATAATAAAGGGGGGCAGAAGGGAGAAGAAGAAGCACAGGATTTCAGTGTGCAAGAGAAGCACAAGATTGAGCTCCTCAGAGCTCTTCTTCACAAACGAGCTGACGACCCTCCTTTTCAGGTTAGTTAATTACCTACACCATTTTCCTATTTCATTACCTTTCTCGATCATCCTAATTTATTTTATCTTCACATTTGATTATACGCAATTTTATTTAGGGGCACATTCCATGTCTCAACACAATGGAAGCTGGGATATACTCCGTATAGTTTATGGACGAATGATCGATGTTTTTTTAAATTATGGACGAAAGAATTACTTTAAGGAGCAAAAGAAACTATCGAGTTACATTTATGTGTTCTTTTATTTGGGTCGGTGGTGGAGGGATGTTCGATTTTTCACCATGCTAGATTGCTAGAATATACGTATTTATAAAGAGTTAAACTATTTGTCTCAGAAAAGATATAAAACAATAAAACACCATATAAGCTTTGAACTCTTCCTTCTGTAAGGTTGATCTTTTACGATGGAAATCGGGGTCTTAACATAATATTCGCTAAGTAGGAGTAAAAAAGTTCATAAATAAGAGTAATTTCTGTCAAGTTTGTCACTATCAAACATTAAACATGACAATTTATGTCAAATTACTATATTTAGGGAATAAAAATATGAAATTTCTAATTAATAAATAAAGCGCACACTAGAATGCTTCATCAGTCGTGCACATTCTTTTGGACTTGTTGGTTTAATTTGGTTTGTCATTTGTAAAAGCCTAATGTGGTGCCGTGGTTTGTTAATCTTCTACGTAGTTTATTTAGGGAGTGTTTGCGATTGCTTCTAATTTTAAAAAGTGATTTTCTAAAGTGATTTTGGAGAAAGTACTTAATAGTAAAAGTTGGTAGTGTTTGAGAAAAAAGTGATTCTGAAAAAGTAAAAGTTGGTAGTGTTTGGTAAAATAAGTGTTTTTTGTGTAATAGAAAAAGTAAAAAGCTGTTTAAAGCACCCTTCTACCTGCTTCCAGCTTTTAGCTTTACAGTGATTAATTTATGCAGAATATGTCATTTGAAAACACTCTTTTCATCTTTTTTTAAGCTAAAAGCTGAAAAGCACTTTTTAAAAGCTCCCGCAAACACTCCTTTAATCCAACCGGGTCAGAAAATCGGGAATATATGCGCGCTCCTATATATAAATTTCATTATTATGTATATTTTTATTTTTATTAATATAACATTATATTCCATTCATAACTTTTTATGGTAATTGGATTGGTTTCAGTTTTAGATGAGATTAGACGAAATTAGATCATGCATGCTTAAACATACTCGATTAAATGAAATCAAAGGACCAGGCCGTGCACACTAAATCCTACTAGACCAAATCTAATCATATAAGATCTAATCATATAAGATCGGGCTAAATAAATTATAAAAAACATATGTTGAGAGAATTTCAATCAAATTAAAAGCATTCTAGTTTTGTCTCCTTATAAATAATAAAAAGAATAATGCGAAGTACTTCGTAATATATCTATTGTTTTATATAGTAAAATTCAGTTATAAACCGCTTATGTGTCTTGCTCTTATTGGTTAGTAGGATTTAATTAAAACATTTAAATACAACATTTATTCAGAAAACGTAGGATAGAAAAAACAGGAGAAAAAGTTGGAGAAAACATAGGAGAAAAGATCCGGAAAAAACGTTTAAACTAGATAGCGTACAAGTGGAAACATACAAGATGATAGAGTCCTTAGGACATCTCCAATGCTATAATGTCCACGGTGCACATGTGGCATGAGTGATAGCCACATAAATATTAGCAAATAAATTATTTTCTCCTTATTTGAATGATTTTATACAATTTTGGTAAGTTTTTTCCTGCAATGTCAACAACAATGTCAACATCTAGACGGTCTCCTTGACAGTGTGGAGAAAAACTTACCAAAACTGTACAAAATTATTCAAATAAGGAGATAAAGAATTTTTTTACTAATATTTATGTGGCTATTTTTCATGCCACGTGTGCACCGTGCACATTTTTACCATTGGAGATGCTCTTAGGATGTTTTCTTTTGGACTGAAATTTGCTGGTTTGGTTTGGTCTGATCTGGTCTAGTCTGATCTGGTCTGGTCTGGTCTGTTAACGTCTGGTCTTTGTGTATTTTATAACTACGGAAGTCAAGTCTGGTCTGATCTGGTCTGGCCTGGTCTGATCTGGGACTAAAAACATTCCAAAAGAAAACATCCTTAATCACAAATGTACGCTAGATAAAGTACACAAACGTATTTGTCACTTTCATCAAATGTCCAAATTTCATCCAAAAAAAAGAAAAACAACCCAAATCTTAATCACAAAAAATATTGAACTCTACTAACATGAATCAATTCGTGATATCAGCGTAAGAAAGAGAAGAAAGATATGAAAAATAGAAAAAACTAAGATAAATGGACAAGATTTTGGCCGCATGTAATGGCGGAGAGATTTTGATTCATGGGGAAAATCCGCATTGGGCCGCACCGGGGCAATACTAATTTATCATTTTTTTCCTTTGAACGTGAAAATAATTCACACCGCATCAGCTGTAATATGTATCATATCGTAACGGCCTTAATAGCATCAACCGCGGTGACCGCAACACCGACTGCAATATAAAACCCTGACTAGTGTAACACCCGGGGCATGCCCCGGTAGTGTTAATTTGAAATGAGTCTGGTGACAAATATTAATAAACATTGAGTACTATTTATATGATATGATCAAAAGTTTGGTTATAATAGATTTCCTTCATGAACTAATCACCACTGTGGTTATATTGTGGATTATGTGCTTATTGTTGCAATAATTATTAATTATTTATAGGGCTAATTATATGATGGGGGATGATAAAAAGAAGTGATGAGTTGGAATTGAGGACATGTGGAGTTTTCAATTTTAGATATTCAAGCGTATTATTGGTGTTGTACGATTAAAGTTCTGTTCACTTTAACTAAGGTTCCATTATTTAAAAAAATTGATCTTGAGCAGTGATGCATGTAGTAAATAACAATGATTGACCGAGCCAACTTATATGAATTAGATATTTTAGGAGTTTAATGCACCAAACTCCGTGAAATAAAAATTCGGGGCATTAGCCTCATGTGATTTAAAAAATGCGTCAAATCCCCCTGTGTTATAATTAATCATGCGCTAAACCCCCTCTAAAAACAAATTTCAATTCCAAAAAAAAAATGAAAAATGATAAGTTTTTTGTATAATTTAGAAATTTTGACAAAGTTACTTGCATATTCAACCATATTATTAAAAAAGTGAATTCTAAATTTTAAAAATTTGTTCTTGGAGGGAGTTTTGCGCATGATTAATCATAACAGGGGTTTGACACATTTTTGAAATCACAGAGGGCTAATGTGCCGAATTTTTATTTCATGAGGGGGTTTGGTGCATTAAACCCGATATTTTAGTAGTAGTGACAATAGATTTTTTATTAAACAATAATTTTTTTTACTTAGTTTTCCTATATAAAATAATAGATAATTTTTTATTTATTTATATATGTACAATATTGGTCTCATATAAAAGCTAATAAAAAGTTATGAATTTTGATATAATTTTGTAAAAATTGGATTATAAATATAAAAGTTATATCACTTTAAAAAATAGAGAGAAATAATAGGGATGAACGGTGAATTAATTGATTAGTTTAGTTATAGTGAGAATAGAATTTGGATTATCCAATAGGAAGTTGGCACATCATTGATTTTAAACTCAACTTTACTATATAAAATAATAGATGTGGACTAAAGTGTAAATATGAGATATATCTTGATGAATAATTTAATAATCATTTGAAAATACAAATTTATAATGGGTTATGATTAGTTCACCATATCTATTTGTATTTTACAGTTTAACTCATATCAAATTAATGTGCTATTGATGCGCTATTGATGCATCTATGTTGCGAGAGCATGTAACACGTACTCTTTGGAAGAGTCAAAACCCACCGACTACATTAAAATTTTGGTTTGTTACATGCCTATGCTCGCTCCGTAGGTTTGTTTTATTGTCGTCTTTAACTATTTAAGCTTTGTGTTTAAATGGGTAAAATAAAGACAAACAAATGCTTGCCTCTAGGCATTGAGATTGACCCAGTCCAATAGATAGATATTCAAAATGCATTATTTATTTTTTCCCTTCGCAAGAGTACTCTGGGTTTAGACATCAAATTTTCTCACCCTTAGCTTAACCTGAGTTTGAATTTTCTTTTTGCTACCCTATTATGTAGGCAGTTGATGATTACACCTTGAGAAGGTTTCTTCGTGCGCGTGATCTGGATGTTGAGAAAGCTGCAACTATGCTGATAAAATACCTAAAATGGAGAAGTGCATTTGTGCCCAGCGGTAACATCTCGCCGTCGGAAGTGCCCAACGAGATAGCGCAGAAGAAGATGTTCATGCAAGGACTGGATAAACAAGGGCGCCCCATCGCCGTTGTTTTCGGTGGTAGGCACATCCAAAACAATAAAGGCGGCCTTGATGAATTTAAACGTATGTAAGCCCCTTTTCATTAGGGATGTTTTCTTTTGGACTGATATTTGCTGCTCTGGTAAACGTTGGTATCTGTGTATTTTATAACTACAGAAGTCTGGTCTAGTCTGGTCTGATATGGTCTGGTCTGGGACTGAAAACAATCTAAAAGAAAACATCCTAGATCTCCAATACATGGTGCAAAAGTAAGAAATAAAACTCAGTTTACAATACAAAAAAATGTAACAAAAATGTAATTAAACGTACGTTTTTACCTGGATTAATTTCAGACTTTAATTTATGATCAGATTTGATTACACGTACATAAACCAAACAAGATCCGATCAAAGCACCTTAGAGTCTTAGACCATTTGTAATGGTCGAGAGTCTAAATTGTTAAATTTGGACTCCGTTCATATGAAAACAATGTTTAGACTCCGTCAATACTGTTATTTCTCGCATCCGTGTACCATCAATAAAATACGCTCTACATATTTTTTATATATCAATTTAGTAAATCATTAATTAAATTATTATAAGTAATATTTTCCTTTTATTTTTTCCCTAGATAATTATGAAATAAAAAGATACACATTTTGATGTAAAAAAAGTAAATTTTATTAGATTTATTAAACGGTTTTTGGTTAACAAAAAAGAACTTAATTAAAATAAAATTCGATTATGGAATATTCAGTTATTATTTGTGAAGGCTCAATGAATTAAAAATTCGTGTTTCGTGCTTTTTTGGGGTTCAAGAAAACTTCAACAGTTAAAACTTAATTTTTTCTCATTTTATATATTACATATTGGTGCCATATGAACGATCATAAAAAATCATGAATTTTGATATATTTTTTGAAAAAATTAGAGAAAAAAATAAAAAGGTAATAAGAGTTTAAAATTAAATGGGATTTTAATGACGTATGCGTGACATCATGATGACGTCAGCAGAACGCATTACCAATACGCAGCAGCGGCCTCTTTTCTTCTTCTTTTCTTTTTCGTTTTCTTTTCCCCTGTCCACTTCCCTTTCCCACTTTTATTCTCCCTTTTAATCTTCCACTACACTCAATTAAGAGTCTAAAAATTCCATATTTAATTTTTTGACTCCTAATCTGCAACCACTACAAACGGTCTTAAACAACCTGATTCAAACATTATGAACTTAACATACCAATATTTCGTACTAGTATATGACTAAAAAAAGGGTAATCGACCAAAATATGTTTTCGTGATTACCAATGTAACTTTCGTGATCATGCTAACTTTTATGACTATGGGTATGTTTGTCACAACTAGCTGAAAAGATATTTTGTGAACTTTTTAATAATTGTTAGCTTTTAGCAACTGAAAAGATCTTAAAAAGAAAAGACGGTAGCTGTTTTGTAAAAAGCTGGCTGTTTGATTTAGTTCGGTTTGGTATACAAGCTGTTCAGACTAATTAGTACTAAAAGTCATGAGCTTCTCTCAGATGCTAGTCCCCGTAGCATCTCAACAAAGATCTTTTAATTTTTGAAAAGCTCTTAAAAATTGTCATGTCAAACATACAATAAGCTATGTTTGGCACACAAAAGGCTCTAGCTTCTAGCTTCTCTATTCTTTAAAAAGATCTTAAAAGACTTTAGTTGTACGTTTGGCATGACATTTTTTAAGAGCTTTTCAAAAATTAAAAGATCTTTTTTGAGATGCTACGGGGACTAACATTTGAGAGAAGCTCGTGACTTTTAGGGTATGTTTGGCACAACTAGCTGAAAAGATACTTTTGTGAGCATTTTAGTAACTGTTAGCTTTTAGTGACTGAAAAGATCTTAAAAAGAAAGTTGATAGCTGTTTGGTAAAAAGCCGACTGTTTGATTTAGTTCGGTTTGGTATACAAGCTGTTAGGACTAATTAATACTAAAAGTCACGAGCTTTTCTCGGATGCTACACCCGGTAGCATCTCAAAAAAGATCTTTTGATTTTTGAAAAGTTCTTAAAAAATGTCATGGCAAACATACAACTAGAGTCTTTTAAGGTCTTTTTAAAGAAAAGAGTAGTTAGAAAGTAGAGCTTTTGTGTGCCAAACATGGCCTTAGTATTAATTAGTCCTAACAGCTTGTATACCAAACCGAACTAAATCAAACAGTCAGCTTTTTACCAAACAGTTATCACCTTTTCTTTTTAAGATCTTTTCCGTCACTAAAAGCTAACAAGCTCGTAAAAGTATCTTTTTAGCTTGTTGTGCCAAACCTATATCAAATTGACACGCTATGAGGGCAATGCCCGGGCTTTACATTAGTTTCCAATCCTAAAACGACATTTTGAACTGGCATGGTGCAACGGTGGCCGTGCATAAGGCGAGACATGTGTCAAGTTTGAGATCAACCAAGTTAACGTCAACATAAGTAGGTAGTCATTTAAGGGATGGTACCTTCTCATTAAAGGCAAAAGTCGTACCTAACAACCAAAAATCCCATTGGCATTCAGTATATACCAAAATTAGTTCTTTCAAAAAAAAAAGTATACCAAAATTAGCAACGGATCGTGGGTATATATGCATTCACGGGCAGTGGCGTATTCAGAATAATATGTCAGCGGGGGCGAATTTATCTTAGATTAAGAGAGAGAAAATTACAAGATAAATCAGACTAATCAGATTAAGAAAAAATGTAAAACTAATTATAAAAAACAAAATATTCTCTCATAAAAAACATTACGATATTATGTTTAATTAAATTTCACTTTGTTAGAAATAATTTTATCACATTGAATATGTAATTTGTGCAAAATTATGTCAATATATAAATGAATCAACTAGGGAAGGAGGAACATCTAGTTAGAATTAATTTTTATTTAAAATTCACAAGTATAATAAAATACTAGTTTTTATTATGTATAAAATTAGTTCATATGTGAAACTAGAATTGTAACTATATTGATGTAGTTTAGATCTTTTCAACAAGAAAAAAGTAAAAAAGAACCATGTATAGCCACTTAGAATTTCCTTAAGGCTTCAAGGACAAAAGAAATAAAAAAAAAAAAAAAAAAAAAGGAAAATCCGCAGGTAAGAATCGAACTCCAAACCTCAGCTCAAATGAACATTTTATGGCCCCTACTCTTTCCACTCGACCCCTAGCAAGTTTGATCAAAATATTCGTTTTAATTGTATAAGAAACATTATGTAGAACAAAAAATATCTGTATAAATTTAAATGGGATATATATATATATATATAATAGGGTTGGGTGGGGGTTGAGTGGGGGCAGCTGCCCCCCTGCCCCCACCCTGGATACGCCCCTGTTCACGGGCATAGAAGGAATCCTTAAATTAATCCAAGATCTTAAGTACTCCCTAATAAAGTACGGAGTATTAAAAACAAGTACTCCCTACGTCTCATTTTACATATCTTACTTTTCTTTTTGGGTTGTCTCAAAATAAATGTCACTTTTCCTTTTTTGGAAAGAAATATGTGGTTCACAACATTTCACTTTACTATACTCAAATCTCAACCACAACTTTTATCTTTTCAATAATAGTCGTCTATAAATAGTAAATCCCAATAATAATACTTCATAGTACGGAGTACTACATTTGTAGTTTCATTATTTCTCGTCTACTATTTTCCGGTCAACGTAAAGTGTTACTAATGTTTTACTTTATACGTAATATATCTAACTTTTATTAAATTTGAGCTTTTCTTTTGTAACTTTATTAGATTTATAATGTAATTTCTAAATATGTATATTTTATTTACTAAAAAACTAATTTAAAACACAAATCAGTTAATTTTATCATCAGTCGAACTTCGTTAATCGCGTGGGAACCTTTCCACGGGACGAAGAGAATATGTCTTATTGAAAATCACTTATTTGATTGCAAAGTGCACATGTGACATACATGAGAGATACCATATAAATATTGGTAAATACATTATTTTTTTCCTTATTTGATTGATTTGTACAATTTTGAAAAGAATTTCTCTACAATGTTAAGAAGACAGTCTGGATGTAGACATCGTGGTTGACATTATTAAAAAAAACTTATCAAAATTGTATAAATTCATTCAAATAAGGAGAGAAATAATTTATTTACTAATATTTATGTGACTATCTCTCGTGCCACATGTGCATTGTATAGTATACATTGTAGCATTGGAGTTGCTCTCTTATAGATAATCATGAATAGCACATCAGAGTATCAGACTCAAACTTAACACATACCTCCTCGATCTAAGATTCAAGATAATACTACCTCCGTCCCTTAAAACTTTGCCAACTTTCCTTTTTTGGATGTCCCACTAACTTTGTCACTTTCTCTTTTAAGGAAAAAATTTGTGGTTCCTGTTAATTCTCTCTCCTCTGCACAAACCTCTACCACACAGTTTTTACTTTATTAATTCCCGTGCCGGTCAAACTTGACAAAGTTTTAAGGGACAGAGGTAGTAGGAATATCCCGCCTAATCAGATACAAATAAGATCGATCATCTTGATGTTGAAAAAGATGTACCATGCGAGAACTTTAAAATTTGATTCAGGCCTATAAACCTCGATACACCTAGAGCCCGTTTGGAGAACTCTGTTTTCGGCTTATCAGGCTTATCAGCCAGCTTTTTCACCAAACACGTAACTTTTACTTTCGCGCGCTGAATTGTGTAATAAGCCGAAAAAGTAAGGTTGGAGTTACTTTTCTGGCTGTATTGGCTGAAGTTACTGTAGAGGACCATTTTAGCTATTTTTACATATAATTTTTTCTTTAATTTATTAATAAAATATATTTTTAAAATATTTTTTTCTTAAATCAGCAGAATCAGCCAAAACAGCCACTCCAGCCAGAATATCATAAATTTCAGCAGAATCAGCCAAAACAGCCGATTTTGGTGCTACCAAACGGGCTCCTAATCATAATCAAACTGAAGATTGACACAAATTAAACCACGCACCCCAAAATGTTAACCCATATCATGTAAATTTGATGAAGGTGAAGAACAAGCTTCCAACTCATCCACTCATGGCAGTGGCTCAGGATGGGACAGAGCATCCGTACCATCATAAATGATTTTTTTATATATAAATACACATAGAGGTGACTGAATCCCATAGACATTTAAGACATTTAAGAAGAAGCATAAGAAGTTGGCTTCCAAGTAGATCGATTTTGCCAAGTATTATCCATGTTTTTATTCCAACTAAATTTAGTGATCCTAATACGTTTTCCTCCTATATTCCAAGTGTTTTTGTTGTGGCTAACCAAACACAAGAACTTGATTTTCTATTAAAATCCTCCTTAAAGATTGGAATTTAAGTTTTATATTATTGTCACATAATTCCCTATGTACGTGAACTAAACAAGGTACGTATGGGTGGGTTGGGATTAATTTAAATTGTTAATTCTTCAAAAGTGAACGTACAATTAAAATTCTTAAGCATAAGAACGTAACTCCTTCCCATCCAAACATAGTGGGATCGGAGGCACCACTTCATCTTAGCTTTCTTTTTGGGACACACTATTCTTGCCATCTTACTAATTGGTTGTTATTTTCAGGTTATGTGGCTTTGGGGTTGGACAAATTGTGTGCAAGGTTCATACAGAGAGACTAATTACGTACCCACTTTATTTTTTGTGACAAGAATTATAATAATATATTGCAATTAATTTGGGACATTTTTTATATTTGTGGTAATATTTAGGACGTCTCCGGGCAAGGAAAAGTTTGTGGTGATAGGTGATCTTCGCGACTTTGGGTATGGTAACAGTGATATTCGGGGATACCTTGCTGCTCTATCGATCCTACAGGTTAACTATTTCTCTTTTTCAATTGGACTTTTTTCAATTCCAAATTTGATCAAAACAGAATTAAACAAATCAGATCAGACTAGACAAGTTCAGACCATGCTTCCATTGGTATAAAATATACAAAGATCAGACATCTATAACTATTGTCGGTACAAACATTTGCCTATATGATTTTAGTTTCAAAATGCGATGAATGACAGGACTTCTATCCAGAAAGACTTGGAAAGCTGTTTATTGTTCATGTGCCATACCTGTTCTGGACATTGTACAAGGTTGTGCACCCTTTCATCGATGCTAATACCAAGAAGAAGGTTAGCGAGGCTCTTTACTGCTTTACAGTTTCAATATTTATTCTTCAAGTCTACACGATAATTAAAACGAACTCATGAATTGAAGTCACTATTCCTTAATGATTCGACTCTCATTTCTATATATACTAATTAAAGATCGAGTACAGAACATTATTATGAATAAATGAATTACTAATTCTTTTATGTGAAAAAAATCAGTATGATGTACATACAATTGGAACACTGGCCTGTATGAAATTAATTCGAACATTGTGTTCCCACTTGAAATAAGAGTAAATCGGATCATCAGAATTTTTTTAATATATACTACGTACTACGTAATGTTTAGTGAAAACCATCTTACAACTTATCATGAGCCTCTTGCCGATGGAGTTCATAATGGTGAATGTGACTGTACTCCACTAGTGAGGGTACAATGTCTAGAATGCATATATTATGTTCGTGTCATTATTTCATCATTTATTTATATGCAACTGTATAATTCGTACTCATAAGGTGTACCTTGTTTAACATAGTATATTTTTGTTGAAATAAGTGGATAAATTGATTTTTGTTGCCCAGCAAATTAAAGCTAAAATGGTAGCTAATTAACTCGTTTAATTTTTATGACCTAATATTATTTTCAAAAATACTTGAAAGAAAAAACAGTAAGGATCTTTTCTTTTTAACTGAAATTTGTTGGTCTGGTCTGGTCTGGTCTGGTCTGTTTAAGTCTGGTCTGGTCTGGTTTGGTAAACGTCTGGCCTCTGTGTATTTTATTACTACGGAAGTCTAGTCTGGTCTGGTCTGTTTAAGTCTGGTCTGGTCTAGTCTGTTTAAGTCTGGTCTGGTCTAGTCTGTTTAAGTCAGGTCTGGTCTGGAACTGAAAACAATCCAAAAGAAAGAAAAGTAGAAAACATCAGGAAAAAATAGTTTATGAGTTAGAAATCTTGGTACTAACCAACGAGTACAACAAATTAAATGCTTTTACACTTCATTTATTAATTATTATCATATAACTAAAGCGTCCATTATTAAGTTTATTGGTAAGACCTACATTTTAAAATGATGAACATTATGATATATAAATAAATTTTGAAATAACAAAATGTGGTGGCATGCAGATCGTTTTTGTTGAAAATAAACGGCTGACATCAACATTGCTGGAAGACATTGAAGAGAGCCAACTCCCAGAGATCTATGGAGGCAAACAGTCCTTGGTCCCCATACACGAAGCCTAGTTGCAGATTGTTGAGCTAAAAAAGTATTGCAAACTGCATGTCACAACAAAAGAATAATAAATATGTTACACATAGATATATGGCCGTGACAAAATGAAGGTAAAAAAAATGTGACAAGCTCGATGTTTCTGTCACCCCAAAATTCGTGGCAATAATAGTGTATGTGTTTCAACGGTGATGCAGAGCAGGGAGAAAAACTAGTGAAGTTGGGATTGTGGACATTTCTATATCAGATTAATTGTAAGAGATATATACTTGCAGGGCCGGTCATGAGAAAATGGAGGCCCTGTGCAATAACAAAATTTGAGCCTTTCTTTCTGGCATAAATATTGATCGACAAATAGATGTTCTTAAAACATAGTTGCAGCAATTATAACTTTATTAAATATAAATAGTCCAATTAACTCATCAACTAATTACATTTAATTCTAAATAACAACCAAATTTGTTAAATTTCATTACTTCATCAATTCATCATACATTATTACATTAGTAGAGTAGTAGTAGTACTACTAAAAATTTTATTTTGGGCCCTCCAATTTTTTGGGTCCTGTGCGGTCGCACACCCTAAACTCCCTCTGGGCCGGCCCTGTATATTTGTTTAATTTTATAAGATCGAAATCTTTTGTATTTTCGTACCATTCTATTATTATTAATAATATCGGTCCCGCAGTTCAAGCTGTTTCACTGTTTCTACTAAATTAAAGCTAGAGTCCGTATAATCAAATTAGTGAAATAAATTATATTCATAGCTCATATGGATTCATTTATAACGTATAATTACCACAATCTTGCTTTCAATTGCATTTTGTAAAATTCAATTCTATTAGTTTGATGAATAAAAGTTCACATTCAACGTTATTCAAAGGCCTCACTTATATGTCCATCCAGCTCACGTTATTTGGAAAGTAACAAATCGGAAATTTAAGTAGGAGTTTACAATCTGACTACTTGAACACTAGTAAAAGGTTTGTATTTGTTAGTGCAATTATTTGGCAATATATTTTGCATTAAAGAGAGTTGATCACAAAAGTTAAAGAGGCTTAATGATGGCTGTTGTAACGGATTTGTGTTTATTGCTGGAGTTATCAACGATATTAAGGCTGAAGGTTACTTATTTTGAGCTGGCCAGCATTGATGACGAGTTGCGACGACGGGTCGGAACCGTTACGTCAAACCGCCAAAACAGACAAATTGAGTCATTGAAGCGTCAAGAATATCATTTTTAAATATTGTAACGTTTTTTGTACATTATTAGGCTCCTTAATGTGATTAAGGAGGGTATTAAATGTGTTTGACCAGCCTTTATGACGGATTTGAATCCGTCAGTACGTAACGGATGGCCAATCCGTCAATAACGGAAAAAACCATCATTAGAGCTTTAATTGTTTTTCCTATAAATAGAATAGCCTCATTGTAATCAAAGAAGCTGAAACATTTGAATAACACACAAGTTTTCATTCTTATTCACTCTCTTGTCATCTCCTTCTCTATTCTTGTTCGAAGCCCTTTCTTTATACAAACTCCTTTTTAATTAGTTTTAGCTTATCAATATTTTGCTTAAACAGTATTATTGGTCACTGAGGTGGTGGGGTCACATTCGCAGTTAGGCACCGCGGTTCACTGGTAGGACTACAGTGTAAGTGTCATTGGGACGGCTATTCAGTGTATCACACGAGTCACCTTCAATAGATCACTAGAGCCAGTGGCGTAGCTAGGGGTGGGCCAGACCTGGCTCTGGCCCAACCCAAATTTTAAAAATGTCTTTATTTTTAGTATAAAAAATTGCATGTAATTTTTTTTTCAAAAATATTCTTTGTACCGGCTCAGTCTGGCCCAGTGTCCTGGCTCCGCTCCTGACTAGAGCATTGGTGTCAGCCTGTCAGGTCATTGTGAGGATGGTGTCACTAAAGATTTGGAGTGATAATTTATAGGGGTGGCCGGACACGGTCCAGAACGGTCCAATAATTTGACGAATCCGAACTCATATCGTGACTATTAAAACAGTCCGATTTGATTCAGTCTTAGACTTAAATCCGTTCAATACGATTTCATTTCAAATGAGGCAGTACTATGCTATACTAATACCAAACAATGTCACTTTTTTCGGAAAATTAATGTTCAGTCATCCTTCAAAAATTCACGCAACTTATCAATTTTTATATTACATAATTAATAAATTTATGATATACTATAGTACTCCGTAGTACACAAAACACAAAACACTAATTTGAGATGGGCGTTTGTGTTTACTTAATTTGAGATGTATAAAACATAAATCCACACAATGGTATACATGTACTTCAAACCATACTTCAGTTCGGTCCGGTACCGGTCATCGCATGGATTGGAACTGACGTGCACTTAGTCGTGGTGTGCAGTCAAAATAAATATCAATACAACAATTATATGTAGTATAACGAAGTAAGGTTCGTATCCACAGGGAAAGAAATATTTCTCTTTTTAATTAACTAGTAACAAAAGGGGGGGTTTAGGTTTGAGTGATTTAATTTAATTAAATACTAAGATGAACGACTTATATGAGTTTAATTAATTGATATTAAGATCTGATTTTGCTTTTATCCACTTAATGAAATGTTCGTCGATCCCGGTTATATCTTTAACTATCTTCCTCTCGAATACTCAATCGAGGAGTATGTCCAATTCATCGAGGGTAGTTATTAATAACGAGACACGTTCATTAATAAAACTTACTACCGAATTAATATAGAACACACGCCGTATATTTACTCGATAGTAGCAATAAATTCAAGATGAAAACGATTGAAATTGATAACCTCAACACAAGCGGTTTATTGGTTTAATCAATATAATTAACCCTTAGATTATTAATCATGAGACACATGCATTAATAATCCAAGTTTACTACCATGAAAAGATCGAACGATTAATAAGCGTATTCGTCGATCGATTCTAGTAATAATTAATATATGAGACAAAACTAGTTGATCCTTTAAGTAATGCTCAAAATATTAGAATGAAATATGAATAGGAATTAATTAATATTCAAGGAAGAATATTAAAGAGGATATAAATCCTACTATAACTAATGTCAAGATGTTAACTAATTGTCATTTTAGCAACACTCTCCAACATTAATATAGAGGAAGAAAATAAATACTACTCTAACTAATGTCGAGATGTTAACTAATTGTCATCTTAGTAACACTCCCCCAACATTAATATAGAGATAGTATTAAGGGAAAAATTATTATTCAAGGAAGAAGATTAAAGAGAATAACTCACAACTTACAAATTCATTAAGCTTCAAAGTAGCAAAACCAAGATGGAAGAGTTTAACTCCTCATTTGGAGACAAAAAATGATAGAAAATATAAAGAAAACACTAATCTAAACTGAGCTAAAGAGTATATGTGAATTGGTGATTAATTTTCATGGGAAGGAAATGGGGTGTATTTATAGGTGTTTGGGGCATGCAGGGATGTGTATCCGATCGGGCTTTCAGCTCACTCGATCGGGTACACTATGCAGTTTTCTCGAAGCTGGAAAATAGGGTCATACCCGACCGGGTCTGTCGGTCACCCGATCGGGTATGACACCCGAACGGGTTCAAAATCCTCCCTGCATGTTGCTTTGTCTTCGGGTGTGATCCGATTTGATTTTTCAGCAAGGTACCCGATCGGGTATAGGTCATACCCGACCGGGTACAGACCAAAAACGAGATCTTCACTTTTTGTCTTGCATTTTTGCACATTCCTTCCACTTTTGGGGTTCACCAATGGTCCCTTGAATGATCTTG